CAGAAGCGTGGCTGTTAGTACGAAAAAAGCTGCCAAAGTTATATACATGCATTGCCACTCTCTGGGCTAATTATTTGAAATTTGCCAGTCAGAGTAAAGTTCATGATTTCGTCCCTATGGGTCGCGAGAGAGTGGGGTAAGCCTGAGTTTGGGACGTGTAGCTTTTTTTTTCACTTCGTGCAATTTTCAGTGTCTCTTAAAGCACTGTGTTAATCTTCGGAAATTTTCTATCGGGTTTTGGATTTCTCTTTAACACGTTGCGGACCGGCGCTCTCTGCGGTTTTCCCGCGCGCGTGGCCAAGCGATTTTTTTTCGGCTAGCGGCATGCATCACCATGTGATGCACTTGGCCACAGGGAACGGTATTTTTCTGAACAATCTGAATTTCACTCTGAAGTCAAAATTTATTGGGATCTTTTCGCATATGGAGAACAACACATCTGCTTAGTTCTTTGTGATCTAAAAAAGCAAGTATTCTGTTGTTTACACGATCTTCTTGACAACAATTTGATTTTCTGAAACTAATCATCTCGTACACTTCTTGATATTAGTGTGATACAATCTAAACAATAACAGTTCCTACAAACCTCAAACTTCTTGATGTCAAGGGGTTTTCATCGGCGAAAATGCAGTTGCTTCTGCACATGTCCTTTTTTGATCCCTTTTCCCCATTTGCCGAGAGCTATGTTGAATCCAGTAAAGTTCTGGTTTCGATTATGGTAGTAGGATGGAAAGTGTGGAGCTCATTCGTGCATCAGCTTATTGTGACATTTTGTTTTATCACAAATAATGTGCGGGAATTTTACTGTAAGCGCGTAGTCATCATTTTTTGCAAAGGTTACGAGTTATCCAGTTCACCTTGGCTGTACGGGTATTATAATCGCTAGTCTGCAATCACTTTCATCAGAGAGGTGCCGAGTTCTCAATTCCCTTACAATTACTTGATTACGTCAGCCCCAGTACATATAAGTGACTAGTATCATTCTTTCCTTGAGTTACCGATTTCATCACAAGAACTTTACGGGCCCTCTAGAATGGTTGCCAAAATTGTAATCAATTTCATCGATCACGTTTAATTCCATTTGAATAGTACATGTCTGGGTAGTAGCTTTAGTACAATTACTGACTTTACTGGATATCAATTTGTTCAGAAGAATACAGAAGAAATGTTATAATAGGAATTGCTGTTTACGTGAAATTTGTTGTTCAAAAAATGGTGTCTGAACACATCACATTTTCCTAGTTGGTGAAGTCCCAGACAGATATGTTATTCAGCATATTCGAAAACATATGCTTGCAGTTTTTGACCAGTATTGTTCCATAAAGAAAATAGAAATTTGAGTTTGAATCTGATGCATCACCATGTGATGCACGTGGCCACGCGGGCTGCGTGCATCACCATGTGATGCACTCGGTACGCAATGTGTTAAAC